GTCAGAGCTGGGCCTACAGGCCTACGCGTACCCTGTGAACACCCGCCCCACAGCCCTCAGGCCCTGAGTCACAAGAATGGTTGGGGGTGCCCCAAGCAGAACAGGAGCAGTGCTCGCCAGCCCAGCCACCCATCCTGGGCCCGGCCCATGTCCCAGACATCCCCCGGCGCCACTCCTCAGGGCGCATAGCCTATAATGCCAGAGACGTGAGGCGGCAGCTGCGGGAGCTGACCAGGGAGGTGGAGGCCCTGTCCCACTGTTACTCCCCGGTCTCTGGAAGCAGCACGGCTGAGGGGACGGGAAAGGCCTAGGTATACCCTTCCCTGACAGAGAGGTGACTGGGAGAAGAATAAAAAGAGAGGAGGTGGTTTGTGATGGTGTGGGGGGTGTCAGGGCCCACACAGCACCCAGAAGCCTGGTTGCTAAGGAAATGATCTCCCTGGCAACAGGGCCTAGAGAGCCCTGAGGATCCTCATGAACCTCTTGGCCTCACCAGGCCCTGTCCTCAGCCCTTTCCCAGGCCCTTCTTGGTTCCAAGGCTCCCACCTGCCTCTACTCTGTTCTTTAGGGCCCAGGGAAGCCCCCCAAATCCCATTCCAGATCCCTAGGCAGTACTGCACTTGAGTGGAGACCCTAATCCCCATGGCCTCAGTCTCTCAGAGGTCCGGCTTCTACCAGAGCCCAGGTTTAGGCTGTAACTACAGGAGAGGTGTGGTCCCTCTGAAGCCCTGGTTTCTTTGGGGAGGGATGGCTGAGAGTGAGGGTACCCAGGCCCTCACAGTTCCCCAGTCAGAACCCGAAGCTCCTGTATATTCGAGAAGGCTTGGAGCAGAGGATAAAATATTGAGGACACTCTCAAGGGCTGCCTCCACACAGCCCTGTGTGCCCTCACTCCTCTGATTAGCACTTCCATGTCACAAATGAGGAGACTGAGGCTCAGAGAGGCCAAGTGACTTATTCATGGTCACGCGGACACCAAGGACCAATTTCATGGCCTTAGACGCTCCGTCCGTCTGCTCCCACAGGTAGATTCCCATTGCTACTGAGTCAGCCTGGCCCATCAGAGTCTCCTCCCACCTTCCTCAGTTTCCCATGTAAACTCATCAGGATATTGCATCCACTGGACAGCAGGGAAACCCAGGCCCTACCTACTTCTAGACACTTGGGATCACACACGCACACAATTTGGGAACAGGGAGCCAGGTCGAAGGGACTACACTCCACCTTCCATACCAGATGGCTTCCTGGAATGTGAGCAGATAGGCCTTTTATGAATCACCCTGCTTCTCTGTTCATTTTCATTTGACTAACATTGTCGATCATTTTAAGCTGATTCCATTAAGTGGGTCTATATTGAGCACCTGCTATGTGTTTGGAGTCTTGATGGAAAATGCCCACTGGCTGTTTCTATTTCTTTCTTTCTTTTTTTTCTTTTTGCAGTGTGGTTTGCAGGATCTTAGTTCCCTGACCAGGGATTGAACTGGGGCCCTCAGCAATGAAAGCGTGTAGTCCTAATCACTGGACATCCCGGGAACTCCCTGTTCCTCTATATCTGTTGAGATGTTCATTGTGCAAACAAAATGACTTGAGGTTCCCCAGGTACCACTTTCACAGACCCCAGCAATGAACCCGGTTGATAATAGTAGACTCCTTTTGTCATATCAACAACTACATCTATTTTGTGCTTTGTGAATTTCATGTGGTTTTCTTAAGACAGCAGCTAACCGTTTTTCAACTCGGAGGTTGGCTCAGTGGGAGGGAAATTGGTTAGGAAGGAGAGAAACCATGGTTTGGGGCGGTCTCTGGCAAAGGTGGCAAACCCTTGCTCTGAACTAAAGGGGCCAGTGGGCTCAGTGACCACCAACACCTAAGGCTGCAACCCCTGGCAGGAAGGGATGGGTACAGTGGGTACTAGAGGGGTTATGACAGGGAAATGGGCAGGACAAGGAGGGGATGGTGCAGTGGGGTGACCCCAGAGGGGACTCTTACTGTCACTCATCCATCTAGTCACCCTCGCTGCTGGCCCCAAGCAGGCGTGGATGGGGAATCACAACAGGCTACATAAGCTGCCATAATGTCTCGAACAATGAAATGGAGGAAATCCTTTATGCATGATTCAGTCCCTATGAAGACTGTCTGTCATCTGTAGCAACCATGCTTGCAAATCAAGTTAAGCAAGGCCCCATGGAGACAGAAGGACAGACTGAACTCTGGGGACTAGGCTCCATGTAGTGGGAGCTGAGGGCAGACATGGCCACATAAAGGGCCAGCTGAGTGGATGAAAGATTGGCCACCTCGGCATTGTGACTCCCTGCAACGTGCCTCATTATGACCATGCTCCCTCACCTGTTGGTGGGTGTCCACAGGTCCTGGCATGAGTGCACTGTGGGTCAGGGCTGGTGGTGGGGGGGGCCCGCGGCCCAGGTGGCCCTAGGACCCCCCGACCATGGAAAACCGGCTCTGGTATGACAACCTGGGGTGCTGCCATCAATACCAAGAAAGTACCCAGAATGCGGAGGACTTCCTACTCCTGCTGCTGGGCCTTGTCATTCTTGTCAGCATTGGGATCAGCATGGCAACTACGGTCAGCGATGGCTGGGGACCACCAGTAGGGGTGAAGAGGGCTGAGGGTGGGAACCAGCTGCAGCCTGCACCTCCGTCTGCAGGAACGGTCTTGGCTGGGAGAGGGGGTGAGGGTACAGAGCCTGGCCTTCATTTTCACCCACCCCACCCCACCCCACCCCAGATATGGCATGGGCTCCAGAATGCCTTAGACAAGACCATCTACTGGATTAATCAGAAAAGTAAGTACGGAAGACAGGTAGGGGGCACCCCGCCCCCGCTAATCCCAGGGCCCTAGAAACCCAGGCCCCCAGGTTCCCAACCCTGAACTGTTCTGACAGTTGCCCTGCCCTCACGGACTCTCGCCTCCCCCAGATGAAATCTCGCAGGCCTGTGAAAGTTCCCCCAAACATCCTCCAGCCAAGGCCCAAGATGTCCACATCCACTGCACCCTGGACCCTGTGGAAGTGAAGATGGCCCGGCCCACTTGCTACTCCCTGTCCTCCTACCATCATCTCCACAACCGTAGCCGCAGCTGCAGTCGCCGCCCCTGCAGCCACCAGCGGAGGCCGAAGAACTGCAGACAATTCCCCTACAGCCACTCAGGCTTCCGTAGGCTGCATCGCAGCCACGGGATGTCACAGCTGCGGCCGATGCCCTCCTCTGATCAGGAGGACCCGGACTCCTACCTGGAGGAGGAGGATGATCTTTCCTTCCCACAACCCAAGTACCCGTGGAGTTGCTGGGGAGGGCTCTACCAGGAGATGGGCCTTCCCTCCGACGTGGGCCTCTGGGGCCGCCAGGTGGGATCCTGGCCAGCCTGCCACCACCCTGTCTCTACCTGTCGCCAGAACTACGCCGCATGGCCAAGCATGTGGAGGCCAAGTCCGAGCTAAGGCTGCAGTCCTTTGGGGCCCCCTGCTCACCAACCCGCATCTGGGGCAACGTGGAGGCTGACCAGTGGACCTCGTCTCCACCACCTCCCCGACGGCTGCCCCCTAACCCCTCATGGGTCCCGGGGGGGAACAGCACTTAGCCCTCAAGAGTCCAGCTCCCGTATGACTCCTGGGATCAGCGGCGGCGTGGTCCGGAGGGCTTTGAGCCTCCATCCGCTCTGGTGCCTCGGGGCTGCCGGCCCGAAGCCTGGCAGCGCAACTCCCCACCGGCCCACGGAAGGAGACTCCCCAGCTGTGCTCACAGCCAGCCCAACCGCAGCCCGCACCCCTCCACGGGACACTTGAACTACTCCCGGGATCCCCACGAGGTGCGGCGCCGGGCGGCCGAATGGGCAGGGATGCTGCCCGTGCGGCGCCCTCTGGCCACCTCCGCCTCCCTCACGGTGCTGGCCGAGGCCTCGTACCAGCGGGCCCCGGCTCCCAGCTCAGCGCTGCTCCTCCGCCCCTCCCAGCCCCTGCCCGACATCCAGGCTATCGAGCACCCTCCACCCCCGCCCACCTTCATGCCACTCAGCCGGAACCCGGGGGGCAATGCCAACTACCAGGTGTATGACAGCCTGGAGCTGAAGCGGCAAGTGCAGGAGAGCCAAGCGTGGGCCAACTCGCTGCTACCTTCCACCTCGGCCTTGAGGCCCTCTCTGCACGGGAGTCAGACTGGGAAAATGAACTGACCAGCAGCAAATGGGGGCGGGGGCAGGGGCGGCAGGGCATGGAGAGAGGAATAAAGAGCGCCAGAGTCCAGGAAACATTGGTGGTCTGTGGCTTGGAAGCGCCACTCCTTCTGCCAGCCTGGGTCCCTGCCCTTGGCTTCCTGCAATAAGAAGCCAGTGTCCCCTTCTTGGCCTGAGGGTCCCCTTGGTTTAGTGGCCACAGTTCTGCCAGCCGGCCCCTCCCGGTCCTGTACCATGCACTAAGTACATCTGCAGATGCAGACTCCAAACCACTGGTCTCTGGGCACCTCCTCTGTGTCTCAGCTGTCAGTCCTATACCATGCACTAAGTAGATCTGCAGCTGCAGACTCCAAACCACTGGTCTCTGGGCACCTCCTCTGTGTCTCAGCTGTCCCTGCCCCCAAAGAGCCTCATACAAGAAGGTGCTTCCAAACTGGGAGGTTCCACATCTGGGCAGGTCCAGCTCCAGGCCCAGTGAAGGGCACGAAGAAGGCTGAGGCTCTGGACTCCAGCCAGGCCTTCCGCAGGCCTCTGAGGCCAAGGTCCTCCTAGTCTCAGGAGGGGCCAAGAGACGGAATGTGTCAGTTGAACGAGAGAGTCAGCGGGCAGTGAGCGAATGAATGACCGCTGGAGGGGAGGTGTGCCGGCCTCTGGGCCCTGTTTGACTGTCCAGGCTCAGCTTACCTCACCCTGGTTACCAGGCAATGCCCCTCCCTCACTGTGACCTCACCACCTGCCCCACTATGACCCAGTCTGGCTCCCAGTTAAAAGTGGAGGGCAGGGGCCCCAGGCAGTCCTGGGACCCGCGGCCATGGATGCGCGAACCTACTACGGAGGCGAGCCGTTCCCTGGCCCCATCCCCAGGAAATGCCAGGAGCAAGGAGAATCAATTCTTCTGCTCTTGGTCAGCTTGATCTTCGTCAACGTGGGGATCAACGTGGTGACTATGGTCAGGGCAGGATCTGGGCAGCGGGGTTGGGGGAGCCCTGGGGTCTTGAAGGGGCTGAGGTGGGAGGGCTGCTGGGGTGTGGCCGGACAAGGGTTGGATTTCAGGGCTCACCCTGCTCCCGGCCTCCCCCCTCCGCTTCTTCCCTCAGCTCTGGAGGCATCTGAAGAGATTCCTGCGGGCACTTTTCCATCGTATTTTCCCCAAAGGTGAGTGGGCGCCAGCGTGGGCTCAGGGGATGTGGGCGTGTCCCCTTTCTTCTATCCCTGCCTTGATTTTCAGCCCCTGAGGAACCCAGGCCCTGACCCATCTCGCCTTTCCCTGCAGACAAGCAAGCCAGCTGTGTAGGCAGCCATCGCATGCGCATGCGCTGCTGCGTGGATCCCAAGAACCTGCGCTCAAGAGTTTCTTCCCGCTGCCGCCATCGCCGAAGCTTCCTGCTCAGGCACCCAAACCACCACCCAAACTCCCGGATACCAGAGACAAATGACAAGAAGGTTTCTAAGTGCTGCTGGATGCCGCCTCAGTGTGGACGGGCTGGGGCTTCCACGGAGGCTCCACGGGGACTGTGGAAGGAGCGGGTAGTGGGAGCTGCGGAGGCCCCTCCGGTCAGAGCCTTAAAGGCCCAAGCCAACTTTTACTTCAGGTAAGAGACACCTTCCAAGCTCCGCAGGATGAGCAAGGTGGACGTGTTTCCACTCCGCCTGCCCCAAGACAGCAAGACTAAGACCCCAGACTCCGACCCAGCCCAGGCCCCAGCCCGGGCCCAGACCCGCCCCCCAGATCAGCCCCCTGCGCATGCTCCTGCCAAGGCCCAGGCATTCTCCTTAGCCCACCCCCCTGTGCACACCCCCCCTCCAGTCCGAGACCTGCTCCCGAGGCCACGCCCATGAGCACACTTCCGCCCAGGCGCAGGCCTTCTCCCTAGTGCACCCCACTGGGAACACTCCTGCCAAAGCCCAGACCTCCTCCTCCAGCCACCCCTCTGAGCACGCCCCACCTCAGGCCCAGACTTGCTCCATATTCCACCCCCCGAGCACACCACCCCGCAGGCCAAGACCCCGTCCCCAGCCCTCAGCCCTGAGCACAGCCCTGCCCAGGTCCATGGCCCTGAGCATACCTCAGCCCATACCCCAGCCGAGGCCCAAGCCCAGGCCCCCTCACATGCCTCAGCCCAGTCCCTGGGCCACACTTCTGTCTGCACCCTGACCCATGCTCATCTGACCTATACCCATGCCAACAACCTGGTCCCTCCCCCAACTTCTGCCCCTGCTACTACTCCTGCCCTAGCCCCTACACCAGCCCCTGTCCCTATCTCTGCCAAAACCTCTGTCTCAGCGCTGGGCATGGCCCTGATGACAAGTCCAGTCCCTTCCAGCACCCCTACCCCATCCTAGATTCTATTCCTTCTAACTAAGGCCTCTCCTCCGGCCATGTGGCAGGGTAAAGCAGAACGTATTCCATGTGTGTCCCCCTCAGAACTCTGGCTATTCCAGAAAGGACTTGGGTACCCTCTCCAGGCCCTAAGAGGGGAATGGTCTGGTGAGGTCTGGTACAGCTGAACAAACACTCAAGCAATGTAGTGGGGACAGTGCTAAGCCCTCCACAGGATCCATACTGGGTTACCTGGAGTTGGGGAATATGGAATGGAAGATCTTAAATGATGCCAAAGACAAATCTGTACAGTCCACGACCTTCCGTTACTGCAGCTTGCTTCCTTGCAGGTCTGAGAAGAGAAACACGGACCCTCAGACTCCAGTTTACCGCAAATTCCTGTACTCCACGGATGCTGCAAGTTCTCAACCTTGCACCATGCCTCCACCATTCACTGGTTATCTGCCACTTGCTTCTCCCAGATCCTGCGTCCTTTATGAACACAGCAACCACCAGAAGCCCTCCACCTTAATACAACTCCACACCTTTCCCCCAACCTCCAAATCTTCTCAGTCTGTTCTCTCTTGCCAGGGCCCCATCCCTCCCCAGTTACCCACTACTTCCCAAACCCCAAGCCAGGCCCAATCCCCTGAACTTCATGAAAGACTAGGCCTCAACCAAGGCTCTGTCCTCCCAAGAACTCCAGGCTCTTCCAAAGTCTACAGAGTTTCCAGAAACTCAGGCCTTAACTGAAACCCAGGCCTCCCCAAGAACCCAGGCCTTGCTCAAGATCAAGGCCTCCACAAGCTTCCAGGCCTTACCCAAGATGCTGGAATTTACAGGGGCTCAGAACATACCCATGACCCCAGCTTATACAAATACTCAGGAATTCATCGAGATCCTGGCCCCCATAAGGGTGCAGCCCTTACTCAATACTCTGGCTTATCCAAGAGATCAGCCTTCCATAACAACTCATGCCTAATCCCAAATCCTGGCCTCCACAGGAACCTTCTAGGAACTGACTCTGTCCAAGTTTTGGGCCCACATGAGACCCAAAAGTCATTTATATCTGAGGCAGTTCCTCGAAAGGAGGATGCTGGGCAGCACATACCATGGACTTCTGTCCCACCCAGTCAGAACTCCTGCTCTCCCAAGGCTCAGGTGGCCTACAATGACCTGCAAACCTTCTCAGGGGTACCTGTACTGATTGAGCTGCAATCATCCTCCCGGCGAGCAGGCAGCCAAGACTGGGTGTACCACCCCATGGATACAGTTCCTCCAGCCTGCCAGAACTATCGCCAGATGTCTACGCCTCCCAAAACCAGCTGGAAGCCCTACTGTCCTGGGTCAGGCACCCGTCTAGGGCATGTGGTCTTTGACGCCCGCCAGAGACAGTTCAGAGCAGGCAGGGACAAGTGCGAAGCTCTGTCTCCCAGGCGCCTTCACCGAGAGACATCCAACAACTCACCGGAGACCATCAAGGAGTGGGGATATCAGTGTGTGATGAGCAACTTAGAAAAAGAGGGGACAGATATGCATGAGAAATAAAGAGACAAGAGAAGTGTTCTGTGGTTGCTTGAGGACATCCACCCCAGCCCCATCCCACAGGGCCTGATGAGGACCTAAACTATCCCTGCTTTCCCTCCATCACTGTCTAGCTAAATCTGTTATCCCCAAGGCCCTAGAGCTGCATTGACAATTACAGTAGCCACTAGCCAAGTACCTATTAGAATGTAAATTAGTTAAAATTAAGGAAAATTAATTCTGTTAAAAATTAAGTTAAAAAGTGAAAATTTCTCTTCCTCAGGGAACAGAATTTCCCTGGCATCCAATTCTGTTCCCTGGCGGTCCAGTTGTTGGGACTTGGCGCTTTCACTGCTGTGGCTGGGGTTCAATCACTGGTCGGGGAACTCAGACTCCGCAAGCTTCATGGTTTGGCCAAAAAAACCCCAAAAATTCTGTTCCTCAGTGCCGTGACCTTCTAAGTGCTCAGTAGGCACATGGAGCTAGTGGCTACTGTATTGGACGGCACAGATTTAGAACATTTGCATCATCATGGAAAATGCTATGGGAGAGCAGTGCTTTAGAGTTTAGAGCAATTTTCCTTTCCCTGTCACCCACCCCCAGCATCTTAAAGCTCCCCCAGAACCCAGAGAACTTAGCTCTTTTTAGGGTGGCTCAGAAGCCACCCTCTGGGGAGGAGGTAAGATGGGATGGACACCCAATGCCTGATTTCCCCAGACTGTGAGAAAGAGCCCAGGCTTCAGTTTTCCTCATCTGGTCTCTTGGGTCACGACCAGATGTATGGAAACTTGCCTCCCCCGTTCTGGGCTGTGTTTGGGGCTCTTGGTTACTGAGGGACAAGACCTCTCTTTGTCAGTGACTAGGAAACCTTGTGTTTTAGGCTCCCCAAATTGAGCCCTGGATTCTGAGGGTCCCCTCCTTCATAGGCCTCTAAATTTTTCGAGGTGTCTCCACTTAATTTTCTTGCCCATGGACTTAGGCCTAGTTCACTGTGGAGACAGACCCCTGGGAAAAAGGAATGTAAGAATTCCTGGTCCAGTATGCATTGGTCTAATCTGTGAGCGTGTCTCTGGTGTCCTATCTTTCTGTCCTATTATTCTGGCTCCTAGTTTCATCCTGGACTTAAGCTGTGTCCATGATAGCACTGGTCGCTGAAAGCCATTTCCTTCCCCTGATAATTTTTCATTGCCCTGCGCTAGCCCAGCTGGAGTTTCCTCTGGACTTGATTTTCAGTCCTGATAACTCTTCTGTATACACACATAAGCTGCGAGATTCCAAAGTGTTTTCCCTGCAACCACTTGTGTGTCTGAGGTGGGCAACACCAATATGTCCCTTCCCTGAGTCAGATGTCCATCCCTGGGTCACTACATGCACACTATCGGTGTGTTCTTGTCTAAGGTGACCACCACCGATTCCAAGGAGATACGTCCCAGTTGGTGAGCCTATTTCTAAGAGCTCTCTGGCTCAGCTCTGACCTTGGACAAGTCATGTGCAACCTTTCTAGGCTTGCAGTCTCATCTCTAAAATGAAGTTATAATTGCATGCAAGAACGCTTCTAGATTTAAATGACCAGGGCTCCTCTACTCCCAAGTGAGATGTAGAGTCCCCTATTTCTCTGCATGCCCTAGTGTATGTCCCTCATTATTGTTTGCTATTCAGATCCATCCTATTAGGCCTCTGTTCTAACCCCAAGGAGTGTTTGTGCGGTTCACCTGGCCTTGTAAAGACACAGAACAGTTTATCATAAAGGCACAGAACAGCGTATCTCCATAGAAACTACAACTCCCATCAGGCACTACTTCAACGGAACAGGAAAGGATGTGGGGGCGTGGCCCAACGCCCTGGTAGCTTTGAAGACAAACTACAACTCCCAGGATAGCCGCGAGATCTCTGCAGAGCGAAAGGAGTGACTGAACTCTGACTGGAGGCAGGGCTGGTCCGGAACCACCCCGACAGTCTCTAGAAAGGGGCGTGGTTATAATTTAAGGGCGTGGCCTTACAGGCAGCAGGAAGAAGTTACCTGTTGAATCTTCCTATCCATTGTCTTCCCAGCCTTTGTAGCTAATAACCCTAAGAAGGAAGCCGTAAGCCACTAGCCTCTTCTGAAAAAGAGGTAAGGGGACGCAGACAAGGGGCAGCGAAGGAGGCTATTGCATTCCTTAGGAGGGGCCAAACAGCTACTTTCTACCTGCTGAGTCAGGTGAACCGTTCCATGGGGGCGCGGACCAGCATATGAGAAAAGGGCAAGGAAGGAGGAGGTATTTCTTTGTTCTCTTTCAAGACTAAATTTAGGGCCCTTCGTCTGCAGACCCATTGGCGGACTGTGTCTTGGGAACCCTCTTGGCCTCTGGAAGAGAAAAGAACGGGGGCCAGTTTTCCGCAGCAAAAGGTACTGCCCGTCTGGGCTTCCTCCCGTCTGTGTATTTCCTAGCCCCCAAACGACAGAGCCATATGGCTTCCGCGGTCTGGGGCAGTGCTCCCTGGTGGGGCCCACCGCCCCCAGCCCCAGCCCGGCCGCTCACGGACATCGACTGCTGCTCTGGGGCGCAGCTGCAAGAACTAACGCAGCTGATCCAGGAGCTGGGTGTGCAGGCGAGCTGGAGTGAACGTCCCAAGCCAGGACCAGATCTCCTCCAGGCCAAGGACTCTGTTTTCTCTTTGCTTGGTAAGTAACCCTCCCAGCCTTCGGGAACTTGCAGCTCTCAGCTCCGCCTCACCCCGCCCCGGCTCTGGATCCCTTCTCTTTCCTTAGGTCTCGTTCACCGCCGGGACCCTCGCTTTCCTCCTCAGGCAGAGCTCCTGCTGCTTCGTTGCGGGATTCGCGAGGGCTCCCTGGATCTGGGGCCTGCGCCTCTACTCCTGGTGCGTGCTTTCGCTAGATGGCACTGGGCAGGAGCTGCAACCGGACGTGGGATCCTGTTCCTCCCAGAGCAGGTACGCGGAACCTCGGTCCGGGAGGCATGGCAGGATTGCCGAGGACCCCCAGTCCCAGGAGGACGTGATTCGATCCACCCAGCCTAAAGCAAAGAAACTCCCAAGGATCCGCAAATCTCCGTGGACCAGCTACACGTCACTGAGCCTGAGGCACACGAGTCTTTGGAAAACTCACGTAGTAATGTTTCAGTGCCAGAGTTGCCTCAACAAGACGTAACCGATGTTGACTTTCCCTCACCACTGAAAAAAACCAATGGTGACGCCCCCAAAGCAACCGACGTTAGCCCAGTGCCACAACCAGCCCAGTGCCACAGCCGTTGGAGGCTCCGGAGGCATGGCCCACCTTGTGCCCCGCCCAGGTGGCTGCCTGGTTCTTTGCTTCGCTGGCTGCGGTCACTGAGTCCCCGTTTCCGGTTCCGGGTGCCCCGCGCTTGGTCCTCGCAGCCCGCCACGAGGGGGTCACCACCATCCTCCTGGCTACGCCCGGGCCCCCGCGCCGCCTCCTGCTTTTCGACTTGATCCCCGTGGTGTCCGTGGCCGGCTGGCCCCAGGGGGCTCGGAGCCGCTCGTGGACCGGCCCGCTGGCCTCGGAGTCGTCTTCCTTCTACCTGGTGCCCGGCGGCGGCGGCACAGAGCGGCCGGACGCCTCCGGTTGGCAGCTCTGCTTCGCCCGCCAAGAGCTGGCGCTCAAGACGCGCATACCCGTTGCCCTGCTGCAAGCGCACGCGCCGGCCCAGGCGCTGCTGCGCCCTCTGGTGGCCAGGACTAGGGTCGCGGCGCCCTACCTCCTGCGGACGTTGCTCTACTGGGCGTGTGAGCGGCTACCCGCGCTCTATCTGGCGCGACCCGAGAATGTGGGCGCCTGCTGCCTCGGGCTGCTGGATGAGCTGGGCCGGGTGCTCGAGGCCGGGACGCTGCCCCACTATTTTCTGAGTGGCCAGAAGCTCCGTGCGGGGGGCGGTGCCGCTTCGCTGCTCGGGGCGTTGGCCCTGCTTTGCAGGGACCCTGCCCGCGCTGCGCGCCGCTGTGGAAGAGGCCAAGGCTGCACGCAAGGGGGGCGGCTTAGCCGGCGGGGGAGGCGGGACCCATGAAAGACGCTGTTCCTAACCTGGAATGTGCTTCTGTTGGCCAGCGGGATGTGGAGGGGACTGCTCTCCCCTCACCTGGGAGTCAGGCTGAGCGCTTTGGCCCCGAAGCGCCCGTTCTAGAAGGCCTCCTCGCCGGTTCCTCCGCTTCCTCCCACCCTCCTCCCGCCCCATCCCCGGCACAGGTCGTTCCATTCTGGCCTCTCCACTGTCCAAAGCTGTGGCCAGCACCCCTCCCACTCCGGCGCAGCCTCTGGCATCCATCTCCCGCCAGTTCTTACGGTCTTTTCTCTTAGGAGTCAATAGGGATGGGGGTAATATATTTGCTGAAAAAACGTGTAATGGAGAAAGGTATGGAGACCAGGGACTGACCAAATTTGTCTCACACAAAAGCAGAGACATTAAGGAGGCCGGATTTCACCCCAGGCTAGACCTCACCACCACCGCTATCTCTTCAGTTATTCCCCCCACCTTCCTCATCCAGTTCTGTCCTCCATCCCGGGCAGTAGGGTCCCTTTCTCCATTCTCGGGGCATCCGCCATTCCATCTATCTAAGCCCAACCTCTCCCCCCATCCAGAGTTCCATTCAGTGGAGTCGCCTCCTTGTGCCTCTTCCTCTGAACTGCGAGACATGCGGCCTTGCCTGGGCTCCGCCTGTCTCTAAGACCGTCGCCACTCCCTGCCTCCCAGGAACCCCGGGGTTCCGCCCGCCCAGCTTCACCTCCCGGTCTTTCCCGGCGTCTCCGCCCCCTGCAGCGGCCCCGGACCGGCTCTCGGAGGAGGGGGAAGCCGCTGTCGTCGCCGTCGCCTCAGCTTCCCACAGCCGCTGCCGCTGCCGACGCTCCGCTTGGTCCAGCCGCCAGGCCCAGTGCTCACTTCGTCAGACCAGGGCCCTCTGCGGAGACACCCTCACTCCTTCCTGGGGTCCGGGACGCCTAGCCGGGCGTGGGGGGAAGCTCCGCTTGCGGGGTACAGGGAGGGAGGAGCCTGGTACCGGAGCCAGCG